AACACTACTCCTTCAATCAATGGAGCGAGCAAAGACTGAAAGAACCTTCTGCTACCATACGAAAAGATTCATTCGTCAAAATCTTCAATCTTCCCATAAAGCTCGCGCAGCTTCTACTTCTCGCACCCCCAGCTCTATCCGCTAATATCTTAAACTAACCTCATGATTCAACTCGCAGTTACTAAGAACGTTTATTTAGCATCTTTACCCGCCAAATTTCGTCAGGGAAGCGGGATAGTGTTCTCTCGCTTATCTTCTTCTTCACTCCCTCCATCCCTCCGCGCACACCTTCCTCTACTACTCTCCCTCTAAACTAACTTTCATCCTATTTTAACCATAGATTTGAGTTCGCCGATCATTAAAACTCCTACTCTAGTTCTCTCCCTGACCGATTCCGCCGAGATTCGAGAAGCAACCTCGATTTTCCGTTCCCGCCCATTTCTTCTTCCGCCCTATCTCACGCGGCCCCTCTCTCTTCTAACTGCTCATACACTAACTTTCATACTAATTTGACCTCATTAACGGATTCGCCCTAGGCAAACGATTCGGATTAACACCTTCCCTCACTCGATTTCATTAAGAATGGAGCGAGATCTCGACTTTCATTCCCACCATACCCGCTTTTTCCATTCCCCCCCTTCCTTTGAATGAACCCGACGCGAAAATCCACCCTGATTCATCCCCTTTTCTTGCCTTTCTTTGCCTAACACTAACGCCTACTATCTCCCTTCCTTCTCGTTCGTCTCCTTCGTTGCCTCGTTCCACAGCCTCTACGGCCTGTTTCCTCTCTTGCCTTCACCCGGTCGCCCACTGCTAGTCTCCTCACTTCGTTCTCCAGCTACTGATGCCGCATCCGGCCGCAGCGGCCCCGCAATGCCCAACACATTCTGATCAGACTCATTGTGGGCGATATTCCGAAATCGGCCGACTACCGGACCGGTCGATTAGTCTTGCCCCCTTTTCCCTGCTCGACAGCAGTGCACCCAGTTGGTTTCGCTGCCTGCACCATTGCAGCTTCCCTTTACCCGCTTTCCTCCAACTGAGCCGACCACCTCCTCTGGTCCCTAATGGGCTTACTCCCACTTACCCCTTTCACAGCAGGTCGCGAAATCGGGGGCACTGCCCCGCCGCAGACTGTGATATGAGTCGTGGGGAAGTAGTCCTCCAGGCGGATCTTAGTGTTAGTACAAAACCGACACGGGGAGGGGGTTCCTTGTGGCCCGTGGCTTGCCACTGCGCAGCTGCGGCCTCTCCAGAATGTCCTAGGCCGCTCCTCACTACTGCTCCTAGGCATAGTTCCGTGCTCCTAGGCATAGTTCCGTGCCCTAACGGGCAAACTCACTCCCAAACCTCTCATGACAGGTTGCGGGCCACTAGGTTGTACACCCCCGTTAGGTCCTCGACACCTAAGGCCGTTCTGCCTTGCAACTAATCACCCACTGGCTTGCATACACATTGACTTCCTCGGTTCGTATTTTAAGACGGACAGGATAGAAAAAATTCGTCAACATCCCGACGCGCGGGAGCCTATAGGGGCGCGTGCACAAGATCCTCGACCGTCGTGACGGCCTCCAAATCCAGCGTCGCGCCTGAGTCAAGGAGCACCGGGACAAAATAATAACAATAATAATACGTAAAAACTTTTAATCATCGAAATATGACGAATGAGGAAAAAGAAAACGCTAGCACCGTTATGACATTGTCGATGTCAAAACCAAAGAGGGTAGCCCTGTCGGACCCTCAACCCCTCGATCCTTACGCACTACTCTCATATCCCGTGTCGTCGCCGCTCAATCTCGATCCCTGAATCTCTCTTATGAAAGTCGTAACCAATAGAGCTAGGCCCAAGGTTGGGTCTAATTCTGGTGGACATCTAAATAAATTGGTACTGCGTAACTCGCATATCCACCGGGACGTTTTCAAAAACCACACTATTGTCGATGTTGTCCTTCACACGTACGCACAAGTCACAAACAAACGTACCAATCAAGATGCATAATCTTTTTAATCCTAACTTAATCAAAAATAAAATCTGGTCGGCGACCACGTTAGCTTTTCAATCATCAATAATTAAAAGATCACACGCACCTCAAGCTTGTGCGCCCACACACTCTCTACTCTATACAACCATTCAGTTTACGTAAACTACATACACCGCCGCGACTCGCGCGATATACTTGACTTCAAACTAAACTTATTTCCTATCATCTGCAAAAACCAGGGCGGATACCCTTGTAAGGGTCTTCGCACCGACAACGAGACATCATCCTCAGAATGTAAGCACGCTTCTTTTGAGCCATAATCACACACGGAGTACAACCTTCCCCATTCTTATGTACTATTGTACGTAATCCGCACATCCCTTCTCGATTATCCATACATCAGGGATGAAGGATAATATGAGTAGCACGCCTGAAGTTAGTGTCACAAACATGTGGAGGGAAATTGGCGTCAACACCGAGCTCATACGTAACGCTTTCGCACAGTTTTCACTTTTTTTTTTTGTGCGTACCACACGCTCACGCACACCTTTTCACAAGTCTCTCTTCACATACTATGTTCTGCGCCTGCAATGGCTAATACAATGTTACTCTGATCACACAGAGATTGTGCAAAGCGTGCGCGCACAATCCTCGGCCGCTTGTTCTGAAAAACTATGACGACGACAACAGTCTCATGCACAAGCGAACGTGTTCTGACTATGGCTGAGTCAAAATGTGAGATAATCGCCAGTACATGACATATGCGTCAGGTAAGTAAAGTCCGTTGTGTCTCGTAAACCCGGTCTCTCTTTTGAAAGTACTTGTCCCCCTTGTCTACAACTGACTAGTGGACCTAGCCCTTCTACTCCCTTGAGCTGGCCTTCGGGCCATCTTCCACTGGCTCCCTTGGCCCCGCGGGTGGATGGTCTCTTCGCCACTGCTCCAATCCATGCCAGGACTGAATCGTCGCGTCACTCTCCTCACTCTCCGCATCCGAGACTCGGTCCAGGTCTCTCTGCTCTCTTTTAGTGGTCCCAGTTGAAGTCTCTGTTTTGTGGTAGGCGATAGTGACCTCGATCCTAACAGCAACACTGTTCCGTCTAAGCCTCCTCTCAGCCTTATTCTTGGCCTCTGTTATAGCCACCTGCAATTTTAGGTCCGCCCTCATTTCTTCCTCTTTGCCTCCTTCAATGTTAATTCACAATTTCGCTTCATCGTCGCCATCCAAGTTCAGAATAGTAGTGATCCAGGGGCCTTCCCCAAATGCTAATGCCCAGCGGGTCAAGAGCCTCCAGCAGTCGGGCTTGTAACCCTCTAACCCCCTTCGGGTCGCCATTGTCACACACCTTGGAGTAGCCTCAGCCTCGCAGTAGCCTACGTACTCACATAGTACGCTCGGAACACTGGACAACAAAGTCCAGACAGTCTTGGTCTGAGTGCCTCACCTCCTAAAACTGGGCCCACCTCGATAGATAGGAGTATCGTTTAATCCATTGTAATTGTTTACCAACAATCTGGGCTGTGGCATGGTGGGAACGTGGGCAGCCCTGCTTCGAGAATTCTTACATTATAAATTTTAATAGTGTAGGGATTATTTGAAAATTGAAATCACTACACGTTATGGTTTGAGATTTTTTTAATACTATTATTATTATTTTTGAACCCCACCTCGACAGATAGGAGTGATGATAAGAGCATGCACTCCTACCTGTCTTGCAGGGAGCTCCAATGTATTGGTGGGGAGCTACACCTGCTGGAAAACGGGCCCAGCATTCCCTGAAGTATATCATTGAGTTGGAACCGGGCCCAGCGCCCCTTCTAAGGATAACTGTCTCCAACGGCATGGTTTGAGATACTCTATCTACATTTGTGATTTCAATAATGTACGGATCCGATTTGAAAATTGAAGGCACTACCACACCTACCACTTGCTTAACGGTTGAGACAATGGACCTTTATCCGATTGGCTTTGCATAACGTTCCGCGGGATGATAGCTTCTCCAGTTCAGCCAGATAAGACAAAAGTTGCCTGCGCTGCTGGCCTACGAAGACTGCAAGGGATTCATTGCTGATTGAGTACTAGCCAGACTGTTCACCTGTGGTAGAGGCTGAGGTCGGTTAATGAACACTTGAGTCACTGTAACTGGGCCCTGAATTATACTACTGTATAAACGTGGGAGGAGGCATGGATGGAGCGAGCAGTCAATGCTTGGCAGTCTGTCTACACCCTTCTCCATTCCCTACCCTTTATTTCTTTTTCATGCTTGCCGGTGACAACCAACCGGACTGTTGACCCCCAGAATAGATGGGACTGTGTATTGTTAAGAAAAGACAGCATGACATACTCTCTCTGTGCCGTGCTCATATGTCAAGTGGCATCAACAAGGGCTGTTACGTCAAGTTCATCGGAAATGTTAAGTTAAACAAGAAAGGATTGGACAGGACAATTGAAAAAAAAAAAGAAGAAAGGACAATTGGGCTCACAATAGGACTCGGAAAACAGGAGCATCAAGCCCGAAAGGATGAGGGAGTAGTAAGAAACAATCGCGATAGAAACATTGGCAACAGGAACATGCGGTTTAGAAATCGGAAGAGGAAAGAGTGGCGACATCCATAGCAGGGGGAGCATCACTTACAGCACGGGCGATAGGACAACGTCAATAGGAGGCCATTAGGAGTATCAATACTGGGAGAGGACACTGGCAATGTATCTGTAGGCAACACTCGAAATAGAACCACTGGTGGCACTGGAAACAAGGAGGGCAACAGGTGTTAGTCCGGCAAAAATAAAAAGGTGTTGAAATCGAAAGTAGGGAATCATCATCCATTCGGAGGACCGATGATATCAGCGACATTCAGCAAAGGATTCGGCCAGCTACACCCATAAGGATATCCAAACCGCAACGGAGAGTTGCATGGGCAATAGGACTGGAGGCCTCTCTAGCCAATGGGAAAGAGTAACAGTGTTACTGAGACAGAACAGGTTACAAGCGATGACATAACACCACAAGCGACATGAGATCTTCGTATGAATTTAAACCACCAGTACCCTTGAGTTGCCCCTGCTGAGCCAGTCCGCGCCCAGTGCCCTATGCTGTGGGACGGCAGCCCAAAAATAGAGCTGCGGCTGCATTGAAAAAAAGAAAAAAAGGAAAACGAGATGAGGGGTGGTGTTGGTCGTGCTGTTGGGAGCTGAGAGAAGAGCACTCCAACGTTCAGAGAAAGATAAAAAGGGGGTAAAATTTTTAAAAATGGAAAAGAAAACAAAAACAGGCTGAGGGCTTCTCACCAGTTGCGCAAAAAGTGATGAATCTTCCACAAGAACATGGAAAGATACGTCGCTATTGTCATACTTCAGAGGGGCAAGAAAAAACGAAACAAAAGGGACGGGCTGATGCCTTGCTCCTGTGCTCACCAAGGGTACAAAATGAGAATGAATATTCCGCTGGAACACGGGATACACCGCGCATATGACCATGCTGTTCTGCTGTCAGCCACCATTGTTCCACTGTCAGCGTCTATTGTTCCGCTGTCAGCGGAGATTGAATGATACGGCCTTCAGATATCTTCAAAGTTGGAAATGTGTTTCTGGACTTGGCGCTGTCCAGGTATGTGCACTGCGACTCTCAATTCTCTTTTTTCCCTTTTTTAGTGCTTGGCCCAGAGGAATCACATCGTCTCTTGGATGTGCCAGACCTTTTTATTTTTTCCCCCCGTCATTTTCCGTCATTTCCCAGATACGGTAATAGCATGCTGCCTGCTTGGAGGTTTTCCACATTGAAGCTCTGCCGAGCCTGTGAAGCGCCCTTCCGGCACGCTCGGAGGCGGGTTTTTGAGCCGGGAAATGTACTGGCGGTTTAACGAACACCATCCACACAACAAATTACAGCAAGAAAAAGTAGGCACATTCCAACATTGAAACCAGGAGCGCTCAAACCAAAACCTCAGGGATAAGCGCAAGAAGTGCTGCCAGAATTTCACCGTGTCCACACGAACATCAGCACTCGGAATGCTGGATGTGAGCAGCATTAGGGAGCAGAGGGAAGAAACACCTGTCGTAGAAACATTCGGTTTGACACCTGCAAAGAGAAGGGAGGAACATTACAGCCTCAAGAGAACAGGCACAGACAAATGGCATCAACAAGGACAGTGCACGGACACAATCTGTGCAATGGCACATTCACATTCGTGTGTGTGCAAGACAGCATACTCACAATGTGCAAGAGCACCAGCTAAAACTTGGACAGCCCCTGCTCAAGGAAGAGGGAATCTAATATTGAGATAAACCTTTAAGGGGCAAAAAAAGAACAAGCTCGCAGGCCAGGACACTCAGAGAATTGGCATCCACACTCACTGACTGCCATGGGACAGTGGCCAGTCCCCTTTTTAGTGTACAGAACCCGAGAGCCAATCTCCTCCTGGTACCGAATTGCCGTTCTGGAGAGAGAATCGACCATGGTTAAGATGCCCCGTTCGGTCACTGTCCCACCTAGGCATATTTCTGCCACTCGCTTGAAGCTGACCTCCAAACTCTCCCTCTGGAACACCCCTTGAGGATGCTGAGAGCCGTACATTGGCATTCTCAGTCTTCCTCTCACTATCGCGTTTGAGTCTTGACGATGCCTCACTGCTACCCTCCAACATCACTTCGTCTGAGCGTTCTCCTACTCTTGTCCTTGAAGGTGCAGAACTACCCCCAGGTGGGGGAGGAGACGGCGGCATAGCTCGTTGATTGATCGTTTTGAAGACGGCCATTGCTTGTGCAACCATACCTGCCGGATCATTCATGTTGCTCGGCAGCAGCATAGTATTTCCCTGTTGCAAGACATAAACAGATAACAGACACACAATCCCGTTATGTAGAATGCATTCATGT